AGTGTCTTTCTTTATCATGTGTAATTATTTGTAGCCTTTAACAGCTGAGTCATAAAATTCGACCTTTTTATGTATAAGGAGCAATATTATAGCCTAACTGAATTATTTCACTTTTGATGTATTAGTTGCAATCACATGTTTACCTCCAATGTTGCTTTCTAGGCATATTTTAAACCTTGTTATGGGTTTGATATTTCTGGTAATTATTCTTAAAAATGAAAAATATGGTGCTTCTACTATGGAATCTTAAAATTGCGCCTTTTCCTATGTAAACCAATAACATCTTGTTTTTTCTTGCAGTACGAGAATGGGGCCCATGTATTATCTGAAGGACTTGATAAGCTGAAGGATATGATCTTGGTCACAAATCTGACAAAAGCAACTGAAAGAGCAGTGAATTTATCTTCTCAAGCCTTTACTTCAGTGGGTGCTGGTGCTGAGGCAAAAACTGGTGCTAAAAGAAAGAGAGTCCTTGCTGGTAAATAAAGTAGCAAAATTGAGCTTATACTCAAGAAACTTAGTTGTTCTGTTAGCATTTTGATTGGTATGGAAGATCTGTACAAGTTTATGATGCTACTTTATCCTAGGGCTTTGTTGTTGAACTTGTCTGTGTGATGCTACCTTATCCACACTTGGACTTGCGTTTAGATAATTGCTAAGTACTTAACGGACTTGTGTTTTGATGATGCCAAATATTTTGAACTTTTAAAGCATATGACAAGTTTGTAGGCTCTATGGACTTCAATTTCTATCTTGCCAACTAAAACGAAAGATAAAATATTCATCTGAATTGCTTTTACTTTGTAACAAGCAGATTAGATTCAATTGTTAGACGTTTGGGGATTTGAACTTATCTTAAAAGGGGATATTTAGGAAATACTACTGTAGTTCTGTGAAGTTACTTTGATTCGGTTGCAATGGCGCTAAACGAATTTCAGAAGCAGATGAAAAGCAATCTTTTGTTCTCTAATGCAATGGTACCTTCAGGTGACTTTTGGTATCGTTTGGGGGAATGAGTGAAGCGATATTTAGTCATCACAACGTACTTACTTTCCAAAAGACAATCCTCATTCAAAAGTATCTTGAAGACACTATTCGCTCTTGCTCATACTTTACTTCTGCAGATGTTGGTGTCAATCGATCTCGTTTGGAGTTGTTGATCGGATGATCTCCATCGTTTCAAGATTGGATGCTACTAAACACTGATGGAGTGCTTTGAACGTCATGCCATCAACCTTCGGAGAAGGCGTCTTTTGTGATCACTTTGAAAATCGGAAATGCAATGTTTTGGTCAAACTCAAAACTGATCTGCATGCATGTCGAGTAAACTTATGTGGTGTTTATCTAGATTTGTCAATGACATGGGATGAGACATGTTCCATAAATTGACATGTAATTATGATTAAAATACCCGCACTCCTTAACTTTTAATCATAATTTTATACAGGTCCATTAATTTTTAAAATTGACAATCCATCCCAAAAGAATATTTTCTGTTAGACATATAAATTCAACTATTAATCCACTATTAATATTTTCGTTACTTTGATAATATGATAGTATTAAAAAGATAATTTTACCTTTCATCAATTATAAAAATTACCATACTATATAAATTATAATTTTTAATTTTCAATTTTTATTTAAAAAAATTCCCTTGGGTGCGATGCTCCTTTTCATGTGTTCTTTAGAGAGTAGAGATCTGGTGCTCCTTGAGAAATCCAATTAGATCTAAGTTAGATTCAATCAAGAGTGGTTGGTCAAGTAGGGAACATCGTGAACTTATTTAAAAAAAGAATGATATTTTAGACATTTTAATTTAAATATTAACACAATTTAACTTTGAAATGGAGAGTTCATTTTACAAACTAGTGAATCCATGTGTAATTATAATTAAAAGTTAAGAGTGATTTAGTATTTTACTCCAAAATTTAATAAAGTTGCTTTATTATAGAATAAATTTTCAAAATTTTAAATTATATCACTTAAAATAATAATTTAACAAAAATAATATAATAATATTAATAATTTAAATGTTGAAATATGTGAAGTTACTAAATTTTTATTTTTTTTACTAATGCCTATAACTAAATTTTTATTTTAAGCTGTTGGCAATTTTGTTATTACTAAGGAACAAAAAAGAAGAGAAGCGAAAGCGATGGAAATTTCAGTTAGAGAAAATAAGACGATGCAAAAGGCAACGTGGTTTCCATTGCTTTGATGCGACGTAGTTTTGAGGGCTTTTGCTGCTACCGCTTAGGCATCGTTAACAGGCCAGTCTCTGGCTCCATTTTTTTGCTTTCAGCAAATTTTCATCAATTTGTATTTTTGCGTTGATTAGTTTACACTAACTGTTGATGTGGCAACTTTATGATTAATATTTTTTTACAAAAATTATTTGCAAATTACAAAAAAAAACAGTAAATTTTAGGCTTTAAATATTAAATTAATATGAAAAACTTGATGCACGGAAAATTCAATTAAAGTTGAATAAAAAGAAGAAATTGGGAAGAAAAATACTGTAAATTTTCCCAAAATAATGTAAAAATTTATATTCTTTCCATTTTTAATAAAAATCAGATTCTCATAGCATCAATCAAAGGCAACCTTAGAAAACAGGAGTTATATTATTTGAGATATAAAGTAATTAATCATAAAATTTTTCTTGTTACAGCCAAACGATCACCTCCAGTGACGAGACATTAAACTTCCACCTACATTAACGGAAGTGGATGCAAAATATACAACTCCAATTACGGGTGACCTATTGCTGCTCTTCATCGAAGTAGTCGTCAAGAGACGTGGATAAGCCGAAGATATCCGTTTGAGGTGTTCGTCTAACTCGCTTGTCAGCATCGTCACAATCTCCATTGATTTCCTCTTCTTCTGCTATAGGGGATGAAAAGTCTAAGCACATTCCTCTTATTACTTCCTCATACGATGCAGAGAGATCTTGGGAGGTCATTTGATGGTACTCTACAAGCTGGTGAAGGCACTGATTTTCCCTTATCAGATTTGCATTTTCATTTGCTAGTCTGGATTTCTCTGCGAGCAGTGCTTCTAGTTGAAGCCTCACCTGTCAAAGTTTACATCAATTTGGATCAGAAATATACAATGTGATAAGATGACAAAAATTTTGTTTCTACTCCAGTGGATAAGAAACTTACCAGATCATCTTCCTCGGGTCGGATCCCCTTACCAAATCCATCTCGAAGCCTTCTGTTCTCTTCCTCAAGCAAACCGCAACGCTCTTGCATAAAACATAAATCAGATTTTATGGACTTCAACTCTCTTGCAAGTGAAGCGGCTTTGGTCGCCATTGAAATTGCAAGCTGCAAAAATTGAAAGAGAAGGTTAGAAACTGGAGAGCTAGGAGTACTACTTGGGTATTGATCAAGTAAATTAGATTTAAGAGAGGGAATAGCTAACATTTTTGGCTTTCTTTATCATCTTCTTGTCTTTGGGGCTTTGCTCGTTCTCTTTTTGCGAATCATCTCCTTTGTTATCATCTGACAATTCACTGGAATCAAATTTCCTCTTCACACCTATCTTACTGTCTTCTTCCTTTCGTTTTTGTTTTGGATCTTCCTCTTTAGCCTCTGAATTCTTCAGGTTGCTATGAAATATATCGGTCAATGTGGGAGGTTTAGCTAGCTCTCTAGCTCCCTTAAAAACAGAGCAAACAGAAAACACTTGACTTTATCAAATTTGCAAATTTCTTATAGCTAGAGCTACAAAACTAAAGATGATCTCATAATCTTTAATCTAAAGGACGTTTTCTGGATTACCTGAAGAGCATTGTCGAGATTGTTAGACAGCTGAGATAGAGTTTGTGACATGGAATCAAACCCTCTTAGCAAAAGCAATGAATCCTCCTTCAGTCGCTTAGCTCTGTTGGATTTTCCTGAATTCTGCCCAAAATATCAAAATAAGGAACCTTGTCAATTGAACACCAACCCCAGAAGCAAACTTTCATAGCATAGCAATTAGCTGTAAGAAGTTGAAGAATAAAGAAAACTTACAATCTGTGTGGGCAAAGACGGATCAACGTTTTGGACGGTGGAGAACTTGGCATTCCGATCATCGATGAGAGCATCGACCCGGTTACGAAGGGTGCTCCAAAAACGCTTGTCTGAAGCTGGACTGAAGAGAGGAGATGACGAAGCCATCAAGCTTGTGGGCTCCTGTTAATGTATCCAAACAAAAGAAAAGATATATTAGAAGAAAAGGGACAAAAGGGAAAAGAACACCCCCATTAAAGGGGGAAAAAAGGTGGAAAAGGAGAAAGGACCTTGGTGAGATGAGGTGGAGATGGAGTATCAACTGAAGCAGCCATGGAAGGAAAAGCAACAAGAGAGAAGACAGATGTAGCGCAGCAAAGGGTAACGGCTAGTTAATGAGGGAGCTCTGGATTCTGGGAATTTAAAAAAGGTGCGCCGATCGTGGCTAACGTTCTAAAATCAAATCTGAAGTAAGAGTGAAGTTGGGTCCACTCCTTTTAATAGATCATTCAAAAAAGCGCGTCAAGTAGGGACCTGGTGAGAATCCGACGGCCCTGGTTTCTTGATGCATTTGGGGGTTTAAGTTGAAAAGATTTAACTCAGTGTGTAGGCTGATTTGATGCAGTAACAAACTTTTTGTTTGTTTATCATCCACAAGATTCTAAAAGAGTTTTTGGATTAGGATTTTGTTTGTTTGCATGTATAGCAACAGACCCTTCTTTGAATTTGAGCATTGTTCACTCCAGTCTTGACCATCCTCTTTCTTTATTGCTTTGCCACTCTGGAATCTGGACTTAATCAAACGTTTGGGCTCAAGCCCAAAGCTTGCCTTTGCTCTTGCTACTCTATTCAACATAAAAAAGTTTAATCTACACTAATTCTCATTAAAAAAAATCAAAAGAAATAATTTTTGACATTTAGAAAGTTCATTAACCGCAGTTCCAAAAGCACCCGGGAGAAATAACTGTCGTGGGGTAAATGAAGGGGGCCAAACCGTTACCTTTATCTTGAACCAAAAATTGCTGGTTCTGAAACAAGCACCAAAAGTAACGGTCAATGGCTGCTCTGGCTTCCTCATCCTCGTCTCTGCTCTTCTCCTCTCCTCCTTCCAAGCTTCCTTCACCTTCTCTCTATCCTCTTCCTCGCTTGTCTCTTTCCACTTCCTCTTTTCTCTCTTCTTCTCTTTCCATTTCTCCTTCCTTCTTTGCCTACCCCACGAGCTCTAGGAGATACTCTGCCCCTTCCTTCACTGTCAAGGCCAGTGCTGGAGAGAAGAAAAAGGTCCTGATAGTTAATACAAACAGTGGTGGGCATGCGGTGATTGGTTTCTACTTTGCAAAAGAGCTATTGGGTTCTGGCCATGAGGTCACCATCTTGACTGTGGGAGATGAGGGCTCAGATAAAATGAAGAAGCCCCCATTCAACAGATTCTCTGTAAGATCAAATAACCATTGTTTTCTGCTTTTCGTAATCATTGGTTTCTAATTAGAGTTTTTTATTTATTTCTTCTCATTTTTATGGGATTTGAGAATGCTTCTAGGAAATTGTGAGTGCTGGAGGGAAAACGGTGTGGGGAGACCCAGCAGATGTTGGGAAGGTTGTTGCAGGAGCAACATTTGATGTGGTGTTGGATAACAATGGCAAGGACTTGGACACCGTGAGGTTTGTTGCATTAATTCTGTATAAGTTATGATAGTTTTCACTGTATTCTGCTTGATAGATCCGGCGGATATGGTGAGTTTTAGGCATTCAGTAGAGTACATGGATCAAAAATATTTAATTGTGGTTGCAATTTGCTTTCACAATTTTGATGATCAGAATTCTAGCATTTGATTTTCCTTCAAAATTAAGGAAAAGATATTCAAATCTTGGACCAACCTTTAGGCTGAGGGTAGATAGTTAAGAAAAGGAAGTAAGAAATTAAACCTCCCTGCATGTAATTTAAAGCAGTTAATTATGGCCAAAACAAAAAAGCGGCTATTCTAATTTTAATTTTCTCATGTAGGCCCGTGGTAGATTGGGCCAGGAGCTCTGGGGTGAATCAATTCTTGTACATCAGCAGCGCTGGAATCTATAAGCCTACTGACGAGCCTCCTCATGTTGAAGGGGTATAAGATAGTAATGCGTTTATAATGCCACAGGCATGAATAACAATATTGAATCGACTCAAGCAAAATCTTCATTATTGCAGGATGTTGTTAAAGCTGATGCTGGTCATGTTGGAGTCGAGAAATACATTGCCGAAATTTTCAGTAGTTGGGCTATATTCCGGCCACAATACATGATTGGATCCGGAAACAACAAAGACTGTGAGGAGTGGTTCTTTGATCGTAAGTGAAGCAATCTTTTAAGCTTCCTAAGCCATACAACAATTTCACCGTCGGATATATTGGCATAGACTTTTGCCTTTAAAAATACAAATATATTGCCATAAACTCTTTTAAGGCTTCATTCCCTTTTCTTGGAGGTTCTGAAAGCACTGTATCAGTGTCAGTGTGTTAAATAAGTGCATGACATTTATTCTCGGCAGGAATCGTTCGGAAGAGACCAGTGCCAATCCCTGGCTCAGGGATGCAACTTACAAACATCGCCCATGTTAGGGACTTGTCCTCTATGCTTACTCTGGCTGTTGAGAACCCAGAAGCTGCATCTTCTAATATCTTCAACTGTGTCAGCGACCGTGCTGTGACTCTGGATGGAATGGCCAGATTATGTGCTGAAGCTGCTGGCTTACCAGTTGAAATTGTTCATTATGACCCAAAAGCTGTTGGAATTGATGCAAAGAAAGCTTTTCCTTTCCGTAATATGGTAATATCGTATTTGTTTACTGTTTTCCAAAACAAAAATTTGATTTCACTGCAAAAACTGCAATCGCTCAATAATAAACCATGGGTTATCTTCATCTCAGGTCCACCAATTTAGATGATTACAATGTATTCTATACTGTAAACTAACTCCTAACCCAGAAGTTCTGCGAACTGTAGTATAGTTACCATCATCCTTCCATTGTGCAGCACTTTTATTCAGAGCCAAGAGCAGCAAAGGACATATTGGGGTGGAATGGCACCACAAACCTTCCAGAAGACTTGAAGGAGCGATTCGAGGAGTATGTAAAGATAGGGCGAGACAAGAAACCTATGCAGTTTGAGCTCGATGATAAGATACTAGAGTCCCTTAAATTTGCAGTTGCTGTTTGATCAACCAAAATCAAGCGTCATTTTTAACTGAAACCAGTCCGTTGGACAAGACTGTATGAGATGCAATTTTCATGTTTCTTTCCCCTGCATGCCATCTCAATCTTATATATTCGTTTCTTTTCATAATAAATTAAAAAAAAAAAAACTGTAACCTCTCCATAAACCTCCTGATGCATTTCAAGACGAAGGTAAATGACATTGGAAAACCATTAATCAGAATCACATAGGTAGCATTGCATATTGATATTATGGTGTGGTAGCTAAAAAGGTAAACTTCGTTGCAAGAGGCCTGCCAGAACTGGGCGAGGGTATATTCATTACTAGACCCTACCAGGCATGTATTTATAATCAAAGCAATGACCAGAACACATATGAATGCAAACAGCATAACAACTAACACGAACAACTGGGTCATCCCAAAGGCACTGGGTTGATATACTTGAACGTCAAGATAAGGTCCCACTTCAAAAGCAGTCAAAAACCAAAATACCAAGTCCACAACAGAAAAAGAGTAAAGATGAATCCAAGAACATATTACAAGCACACTTCAACAAAAAAAATCCCACCATACTAATTCTCTTAAAGATTTTAAAAAAAAATGCATGAAAGTGGAAGTGAATTAACTATTACTTGCTACTTCATATGAAATCTCAGAAACATTTGAGAAAAAAATTGCATATTAAACTGTTGAATAATGATATCTGAAACAGATGACTGCTGTGTCTCAGGTACATTGCAGCTACTACAAAAGGAATGATAACATGCTGTCCAAAGAGTATGTTGCTGAGTAAATTTAAATTTAATTTAGCTTCCAGCTAATTAGAGCTACAACTATTAAACTCAGACTGTTCTATTATCTGACTTTGAGGAATTAGTCCTCAAAAACCTAACCTACATTAGGTAGATCTCCCACATTAATTTTGTACCTTAGACTATAATAAGCAAGATTGAAAGTAGAAGATTATTTAAATGATTTTCAGCTGAATATAGCAATAACAGCAGACATACACAGCATGACTATTCTTCTTGCTTGATCTTGAGATCCTTAAGCTTGGATTCCAGTTCACTCTCATTTTCTGCATTCTCCTCTTCAGCATCCTCATCATCTTCTCCTTCTGGATCATTCTCATCCAAAGGACCAAGCATATCAGGGCAACTTTTAAATGATTCCATCACCTCATCTATCCCATCATCAGAAATGAAATTTCCATTGATATTCAGCAACTTAAATCCAGGTTTTTTCACAACAACCTGAGCCAAAAGCCTTGCCCCAGCTCTCCTTATGGCATTTGAGCTCATATCAACTTCATTCAACTGACCATGACCCTCTCCTATTGCCTTAGCAATCAAAATAGCACCTTCATCCTTAAGTTCATTCTCTGCCAAGTTTAATTTTGTGAAGAATTGTTTTGATGCAATACAGGCTGCTAAAGAAGCAGCACCTTTGGCTGTAATGTCATTTCCAGCCATTTCCAGAACTTCAAGAGAAGGTGCACTCTCTTTCAGAGCATTGGCGAGTGCTTCTGCCCCCTCATCCTCCAGGTTCAAAAAACTGAGGTAAACCTCAGTAAGATCCGCAAACAGGGAGAGAGCTTCGCTCAAAGCAACTCCAGCTTCCACACCAAACATGTTGTCACGCAGATCAAGCTTCTTTAAATGGGTACATGTCTTTAGTGCTTCAGCTAGAGCCACACCACCATCTGCACCAACTCTTGTAGAAGAACACCGGAAATCCTCCAATGCATGGGAGCGCTTCAAAATCTCAGAGATAGCAATTGCACCTTCATCCCCTGTCATGTTATTGTGAAACTGAAGAACTTTCAGCTTCTCAGTAGAAGGAATTAGCTCAGAAACTGCTCGAGCAGCTTCTTCTGAGATACCATCATTCATCAAATAAAGTTCCTCCAAGTTATTCTGTGACTTCAAGAGTGCCCCAAATGCTCGGACACCCTTTTCACCCAAGGCATTATTTGAAAGGTTCAGGTACCTCAAGTGACAACCTCCTAGGACTGAAGAAAAAATATTCATGACTTCGAGAGCTTCTGATTCTGACCTTCCAGCAATAAAATCTGAAAGGTCTACCTCTGTCAATTGATCTTTAATGGCTGATAAGATGGGTGCAGCAACATTTGCTGCATCCAAGCCAAAACTTCTGTTGCTAAAGCATATCTTAGTGTAGGAATTTCCTGGCTCTCTAAGTGGTTTCAAAAGGTCCTCAGCCTCCTCTGCATCAATAAATGCCCGGCGACCTCCAGATATATCAAAGACAGTTTCCTGGAGAGCAGTATTTTTATCCGCTAACTCTCCATCCTTGACCGTAGGGCCTCTTTTAATAACTTCCAGCATCAGTCTACTGGATTCTTTTGCATATATTTGCACTGCAGAACTTCCATCACCATCAGGCTCCTTCTTGTAGTGTTGATCTGCAGTTGCAAAAGCTAACTCTTCTATTTTCTTGGCATCCTCCTCAGCCTCTTCATTACTTAGTAGGCCATACTTTCGAGAGAAAATGGATGGAGTTGTAAGATTCTTGGTCATCCGCTCTACAAGCATTAGCCTTGTACTATAACTAGGTGGCCACAATTTCACTGACAGCAAGCGGTGTTGTAAAGCTTGTGATCCAGATTCCATTATTAATTAACCTAGGAGCATCACATATTACAGATACATTATAACAAAACCAGGATACATGCTAGTGCACAAAAAGAACAAAGTACAAGTTAGTTAACCATTTGAATTTCATAGCCAAAGAGATCTGTAACCATTGCTCAAAACTATATACCATAATTTCAGAAATGCAGTATTATAATCATCAAAGTCAAACTGCCGAGTGCTCAATAATTTTCATTCCACAACCTAAAGCTAATAGGCCACTTAGCCAACACATTTCTTAAGTAACATTGACTAAAACAAAACAATCAATAAAGATGAAATGCCAGAATAAAGGACCCATACTAAAAGAGCAATGAAGCTGGACTTCAAAATAAGCAAATATTTTTACATGAAGTAATTGTACAAAATAATTAAACCATAAGTTTAACTACAACACCAAAAAAGGGCATAGCAAAAATAATTTTGAAGAAATCAAAATCTCAACAAGTTTGTTTAATTCCTGTTACACTACTAAAAGACTTTAAGTTACAGTTTAAAAAAACAAAAGAATTTTAAGTTACAAATATATCCCCTATGAACAGCATCAAATATGTTAGTGCCATGAAATTCTTATCATGATAGATCTATTAGCCAATTACCACAAAATCAGTTCAAGCAACTTTTGAAAGAATTAACCAGAAGCAATCTTATTTAATTGGCATCAGTTACCTTTCAAAGATTGTTTCAACAGAAGCAATCACCAAATGGTGTTACAAGTAGTAGTGGTGATAGCATACGGCCATCAAAAGATTGGACAAAAGGATAAGCATTGTCAATGATGGCAGAGTGGCAAATCCGAGATGCCACAAGCCATGGTTTTGATGGAAAGTGGACAACAACAAAGGCAGTGATAATTATGGAGGAAAGTCAATAATGTTACATTCCCTTAAGCTAAAACCTAGAACTGGCCAATATACAAACTTAATTATTGATCCAGGTTGACTGTATTTTTGTTCGATAAACATTTTCAGTAGCAACATTATACCAGCATGTTAAAACTTCTGCTTTTAACAACCAATCACCCAATCAATAATGGCAAGTTTAGGTAGTGCACACCTGAGGTGGAATAATAATACAATCCTTCTTCCCAAATTCTAAAGCTATTGAGCAAAGATATCAACACCAATGATTGATTGCTTATATCAAAAATCATCTCAGCCTATTTCAATTAATGTAGAAGTTGTCTACTAAAGCCCCACATATATGATTATGAATAATATTCTCCCCATGCCCCAAAAACGGCTTATAATTTTTCCCTTCAAAAGCAGAAATTAAAGATATCTAAAATCCATCATTAGGTTGTTACGAGATCATACAGAAATGAAAAAAAAATAAAAGTTAATGTCGTCCAATTCAACATTGAGAAACTAAGAGGAAAAAAAAAAAACAAACGTTATAAACAAAGCGGAAAATAAGGAAATAGTGCACGAAACCCTAAAATGCCAATTCACAAAATCGCTAATTGCATAATAGATTGCCCATGAATAAAAAATAGATTTAAAAAATGGTTCAATTTCTCACCTGTATACCGCCTGGTACTTAATAAAAATTTAAAAAAATCTTGAATCTTGCACGAGCTGATTCACCGGGAACCTGAAATAATAAAAAGAATCCAATGATTACCCACTTAGATTTCAAGTTGTTGGAATTCAATAAACCAACCAAACAAATAAACAACCTTACGATAAAATTAAAAAAAAAAACAGAGAAGAAACAAAAACGCTACACTGTTTCTTTTCTCCTGAGAAACAAAATAAGAATAACAAACCCTAGATAAAAAAAAAAAAAAAAGGGAAGGGTTCCATTGAGAGCAGAGAGTTAATACCCTTTTTTTTTAATTTTTGAAATTTAAGAAAGAAAGGAGGAGAGGTTTCTTAATAGTGAAGAGGTGCAGAGTAAAGCAATGATGAAAATGGTGATGAGGGAAAATCAAAAGAGTGCGTGCGGGAATTGGAGGGAAATGATGGCTTTACTTAAATTTTATTTTTCGAGCCAAAGATGCGTAGGATTTCCGCATCTTATTTTCATTTGAAATTACTATATTACCCCCTACTTTTTCGTGTCCGAAGTTGGTTTTGGATTTTTTCTGTTCGTGTTTGGGCTTGGCCTGAACGGCATTATGCAATTTATATCTCATTCAATTGATATATTTATTATTTATTTATTTTCCATTTAATTTTTATAAAACAAGTAAATAGTATAATTTTGCTTCTTATTATATTTTTCTATTTTATGACAAACATTATAAAATAAACAGGCAAGTATATTAAAAAGAAAACAAATAAAGCAACATTTGTCAAAGTTATACCTAATATTGTAACGCAAAATAAGTTCTCGTGATCATGACAATTGATTTTTAATGATTATCAAGCCTTACTATGTTAAAGGACAGTCATAGATTCTTCAACAATTAATCATGTCCATGATTAGTTATAATTAATG